CCGTTTGTCTCTGACCTGGAAGCCAAGCTTTCCGCAACAATCATTACCACAGCCGCATGTACAATTAGACTCATGTAGCTAGCTAGATAATGAACTGGTTCGATGCCGCTTACAGGATGATGGAAGTTCCGAATCTGGGCCACCGTTTTAAAAGACGACGAACAAGAGAGTTGAACTAATATGACATCTGACAATCCGTTCCGGATGTAAAAGTGACGTGAGACACTGACGTCCGACCGCCCGTCTTGTCAACTACGTGCGCGGCCGTGGCCACACGCGACTGGCTATTGATTGCCACGGCATGCACTTATAAAAGAATAAGAGCGACAGGACAAGCGAAGGGAGGTCAATCAATTGAAGATATCAAGGCAAAAGAACGGAGAAAAGCGACGGTCCCTGGCGGTAGTTGAGTACGATGACTTACCCCGGCTCGCAAGCTGAGGGTTTTCAGGGACATTACAAGGCGAGATAGACCCTTTAATTACTTGATGATCTGCACACTCATGGGAAGACAATTCGTGCTTGGAGAGACGTGGTTTTAAAACAAGCGATAAAGGAGCTTCAATCTTTCCCGATTGTAGAAGCGTCAGGGCCGCTCATCGCTATTACATCAGCCAGGACTTGGTTGGCAGTCTAGCTAAGGGCTCTCTAGAACAGCTGTCCTTGCTCTGCGACAAGGTGGAGATCGAAAGGTGAGGCAGATGCTTTGTGTCCCCAGTGAGACATGCAGCATTGCAGATCTGACCTCGAAGAAGTGACTTCAGAAAGTCACGATTCCATGCGAGCGGCCCCCTTCTTTTTCGACCCGCGCGCGCGGCCGCGGCCGTACGAGAATGGCCCCAACAAGGACGGGTCGAAGACAAGTAAAAGCAAAAGCAAAACGCAACGGGAAGCGAAGGGAAGCGAAGGGAAACAAATCGAAGGGCCCCAGCAGTTGGTCGTGACTCAAGAAGCGTTGCGGACCAACTTTTTTGAGATATATCGCGTTTACAGAGTCTCCTTAGCGGCTGTTGCATGAGAGTACAGTAAAGCCAACTCCGACAGCTTGGCCGCGCCGGACAAACATTCATTGATTCGTAAGCACGAAACCTGACTCTCAAAGATTTGTATGCACACAGCGAAATCATATTTCTTTCAAAACTTTGATAAGTTCTTCACGAGCAATCATTTAGTATTTTGCGCACGACTTAGCAGCCAGAAAAAAGAAGAGGGCGCGGAAGTGGAGCATCTGCGCGCGGCCGCCTGGCGTCTTGTGAGGTCAAATCTTTGCATGAAAACATGTATGAAATGTGCGGCGTGTGCAGGACGGACGCGAGCGCCTCAATCCCCGGCCCACTTGACGCACCACTTTCGATCTTTGACCATTTATCTTTCATTGCTTATCCGCACGTCAGGTTTACAGGTTTCTAAAGCGACTGACCGGCGTGCAGGCTGTGCCACATCGATCACGACCATGCAAGAAAACCTTTGGTAATCCGTGGGAGCAAGAGCATGCTCGGAAGAGCCGATTGCGCACCAAAATAATCGCGCACAGCGCAACGTGGCCGCGTTCATTTGCATTAGCAACCCTCAGCTTCACATATAGCTTCGACTTTACACCCGCCCCTTAAAAATAGCGAATCTATCAAATAAACCGTCGAAACCCATCGTGCTGAGATGATCGTCTTGTCGACAGGGAGAGAATGTTGCAGTACATTTGTGAAGCTCAACCAGCGCATTTGCAGCGAGTCTCAGTTTGAAGGCGGCTGCCGCCGCCCATGTTTAATGGTTGTTGTTTCGTCGATCGAAAGCTTCACGATTGTTACGAATGTGACGGTCTGGTCTGGTCAATTAGATGGCAGGATACAATATCCTCGAAATGCAAGAAGACGAAGTTCGTGCAGGTGCATGACAGAGGGGTGACCACTTGAGGACACCTCGTTATTCCAAAAGCGGCCAATTATCTCTCGATAAAGGTCCGTCTGACAATCTGGATCGAATAGACCAGGCCCGGCGTTTGGCTCTTAGGACGTTGATGCGGTGGTAAGGGCTCATTCATATATTAATGTACCTTGGCGGAGCCAGGTTTTTTTTTGATAGGTAGCCGCCGCCGGCGTGGAACCCGCAACATCCTCACATCCTAGCATGGTCCTGTTTATGTAACCAAGGGTCTGACCCAGAACTAAGATGAGAACCTAATTAGGAAGCAGGGAGCAAAAAGGTAATTGAAGGCTTTTGGTTTGACACGTATGGCTGCAGGCTGTCACGGTGTCACCGGCCTACCATACTGACAAGCTACGGTAGCCTTGCAGCTAGGTAGTAGTAATCGCAAGTGTTCGGCGGATTAATGATTACCACCTGATTTATACCACGTGCATGAACATATCAGTTCTCAGCCGTCGATCATTTGAGTCTTGCAATATTCGACGGCGGATCGAACTGCTTCACGTGGCAGCCCATCGAATACCGGTATGTAGGTGACTCGTGAGTGCATCGTACGGGTGTACGGCTGTCCATGCGGGGCACACAAGTCTGCATAATGCAGCATACCGTAACTGATACCTACTGTAAGCTGTAGCTTCTCCAACATGGCTTTGTTTAAAGCAAAGCACAGAAAGGTGCATGTTGTGTCTACTTCAAGCTGCCACGCACCTGTGGCCCTTCGTAATTCGCGTGAGGTGCTGCACGCTGCCAAGGGTGCCCCTTGACCCTGCTGGACTTTCAGAGGGCTAGAAAGGAAGCGAGTCCTGGCTTACCGCGCAAACGGCATTCACTACCAAGATTTTGGCTGAAAGTGCTCTTCTGAGATATCTTAGCAAAGCTGGGCCAAAGTTGGGTGTAAGGATCTGATGCTATATGTAGGTGGAAAGTGAGCGGCGAGGAGTCGTTCAGGTGTTCAGGTCCTTGCTTGAGACTCAACAGCTGCTTGCTTGTTTGGCAGCTCGACTAGCTCATGCTGACACAATTCGTGGTCAAGAACAAAAGTAGAGAGTTGCTGCAGCATAGCTTCTGTAGTAGCTTGCAGTACCAGCTTAGACACCAGCTCAAACCTGAGCAAAGCAAGGATGTGTAGGCATGGTAACAAGCAAAGACTAAGCATAATGCATCCAGAAAGAGCTAAACCAACAGCTTCTCTGATTTCCCCCTACATCAGCCCTGCAGGCATTGTTTTGCTTCTAAGTTTCTTAGGAAGAGGTATCGCAGACTAGGTAGAGACCGCACCTCGACCAGGTGCTCCTCTTCCTCCGCCGATCTCTGCTGGAGAATGCCCCTTGGTGTTCCTCCAATCAGACATTCAGCACGCCAAGCAATCTGCTTGCTCTTCCAGTGAGTCATTATGATTTCCAGAGTTCTCCTCTTAACAACAATTGTGCAAATGATGTGGTCACCAATTGCATCAGAAGTTGGTGTGTGCAGTCTGAGCTTGAGCTTAAGTTTTATGATAGGCTTTCGAGCTGGTCCTAGAAAAGAGGCTGCTTACTTTAAAGAAGCCCGGCAACGTTCATTCCTCAACCTAGATATCATTCAATACTGGAGAGTCCTTCTTTACTACAAACTGGGTCCATCAAAACAGTGGGAAGCTCCCTTCCCTTATGAAGTTGGCTGGTGACCAGGCAATTCCTCAGTGGCCTGATATTGAACATTTGAAACGCACAGGTTTTACCTGCTTCTGTCCAACGGGACTGCTGCTTAGTAACGACACTAAACAACAATAAGCTGGAGGCACCCTACACTCAGCGGCTTCCTTGATGCTTCAGGCACGGCGGCCACCATTGGGACTGGAGACCTTCCCACAAATTGCTGCAACCAGATTCGGGCAGCGTTCTTCCAAGCAAGAACACGCTATGCAAATGACACTGGCCGCCTGCTTCTTCCACAAGCATCAGCAGATGCATGCATCCAGGTCGGCCAGCGCGATCGTCCTGCTCATCGCCTCATTCCTTATCAATATAGATTGGAACATGATCATATTCAGTTGGAGAGCATTCCAGATGCTGTTCTCTTGTTGATGTTTTATAGTCAGGCTATCCAGCATTCAGGTCCGTTTCAAAGCTTAGGGCTGGGATATCTGTCCCAGTTAGGGCCCAGCTGACCAACTGCTATGCTTGTTGGTGCCGACTGCTTATTGGCAGTTCCTGTAGAATGTGGACGAGTGTCATCATTTCATGCATTTAGCAGTCGGAGGATATTGTTCTTTTCTGGATAGCATACGGAATACCTTCTAAAGTTGGATTATTGGTCTTTTGGATCAGAGATGCTTTCTTGAAGGGTCTAACAAACTAGAAGTCTGGTAGATTCTTCTAGCAGGAATTTGTGTGTATGCTCAGAAGCTAATTCTCTAATCTCAACTCGCAGAACTTCACTGCTTCTTTCTTCGCGGCTGGGATTCTTGTCCCCAGCGACTGCAATGTTACCAGTGGAGCACTCTCCGAGGAATCAGGCATGGCTTGTGGAAGCAACCTCACTACTGTCTACAAATTTTGGTCTGCAACAAACCGCACTTTTCCAGGTGCGTCCACTGGGTGAAGGTTCCCTTAACCATTTCTTAATCGTGTTCTTCCTTATCAATTAGAGTGGCAGCAAGTCAGAAAACTTGATCATTTCGCATAACGCTTTTCTACCGGTGCAAGTAGCATGGATATATGGGGCATCAAGGGCGCATATGTAGCCAAGGAGCTCTGGTCGAGATATACTGCCTTACGTGTGTCTTTCAATTGTGATGTCAAGGGGAGTGAATGCTCATGAGCCAGTAACCTCAATCAGATGCAACAGAGCATATTGAACTGACCTCTGGTCTTGGGCAAGAGGCGAATCTGATGTGTATCTGACAGTAGGATCCGGGTCAGAAAATGCAGTTTGAGGTCTGAAGCTCTGCACAAGCAGTATTGTATAGCTGGTCATGCATGAGCTACGGTTGCCTCACTCCATTGGATGTTGTACCAGGTACGGTTGGGGCCAGCTGCTATGCGGTTCAAGGAACCAATTGCGGCCTCTGCACCACCCTGATCACAAATAAGATCATGTCCCTTGGAAGCAGCACCGCCGCTTTACTCAGCACACCTGCTTGCCAGGGTGAGGTCGCTTACTGACAGCGAGGCCCACAGGGAACCACGTTAGCTAAGACAATTGATTGACGGAAAAGGTCCTAATCATAAAGTTGCAGACTCGAATATTGAAACGCTAGAGGACAATAAATGACTAAACTGCTGAACCGACTGAAGTGAACTCACATCGTTTCAAGCCTGTTTCATTCCCCTCAACCACCTTCCAGGGCTTTTGAACAAGGAACTTCTGAGCTCGCACGTGACATATAACGCAGCAACGTATACGTGCCTTCTCATCGCCTTGCAGACCTCGCCCAGATTGCAATGACCGCAGCGGCCTACCCGGTCGCTATTGCCAACGGAATATCCCAGTGTCTGCATGCGGTCGATATTGCTCCCATCATACCAGCGGCTAAGTGCACGGCTATTGACTGGGAGGTCCAGAACTTCACCGCGGTCGCTCTTAGCTGTGGCCCAGCTCAGATCCGCCCGGATCGTTGCTGCGACCTTATTGTCGGATCATTCGGCCAACAACATGGGTTTTATTTCCGCAACACGGGGCGTACCCTGGAGCAGGTACGTGCAAGCTGTCCTTTTGCTGTGACTGATTTGTTGCCTATTGGTCGGGAGAAAAATATCCGACAATGAAGCTTTTGAGTAAGCACAGAAGCTTTGGCTGCTCACCAAGCTAGGAACGAAACTCTTGGCAAATAACCTGGCAGCTTCTAACCAGCCGATAAGCTGCCATGGTGGCGTGCCAAAGCTCCCTGTTGCGTCACGGGTCGTGTCGGATTGAGGAATTCGAAGCTGAATCGATACAATCAACTTTCAAGTTTCTAGATTCCGTGCAAAGAGTTTGCAAGTTTCACGCTGTGCTTCTTTGCCCGGGATGCTATGCATAAAACAGTTGCTGGCAAGGTTGACTTTGACATCAATTGGCAGATTGCTTCGTATTAAGTCGTTGGCGGCCTGACCTGGCAATCGGTAGGAATAGATTAGCCCAGTTGAGCACATATGAGCGGACCCGCCTAACAACTTGTGCATCCGATGTCTTCCTCTCATGCCCCATTTTTGATCTCGGTCGTTGCAGGACCAAGTTCAGGTCTGCTGGTCGGAATTCCAGAAGGCGCTCGTGGCGAACGGCGTTCCGCTTACTTCTTTGGATACATGCAGCCACATAACGGCTGCGAACCATCTCATGAGCGTTGGCTGCTACAACTATACCACCAGCTACCAACGAGTTCCGAGCCAATACCTGGATCAAATTGCCACCTCCTGCAACGGCTCTACCCGCGACTGCGGCCAATGCAGGCCGACATTCATAAGAGTCGCCAGGGAGCTTGCGAACACCAACGATGCAACCTACGTCACCAACTGCATACTCACTCTAGGACTGCAGTTCTCTTCCTTGATGTCTGGCATCGAAGAGATTACTGCTTGGGAGAATTGCTACTATCGATTCCCACCCCCGTTGGCAATTCTACCTTTCATCTCCCCAAGCGCCGACCACGTCGTGAAGTGGGCTCTAGTGGGTGTACTCACTGCTGTTGGAGTGGTTGTCCTTCTTTTCGTCCTAGCAATTCTCGCTGTCAAGCGTTATCCTCTCCGCAAGGCTCGGTTTAACCATAAGCTGGCAACGCTCAGCCGCATATCGTCAATCAGCCTAAAAGCCTTACAGAAGCGGCTGCAAATATACAGCAAGAGGCAACTAGAGAAGGCGACTAAGAACTTTGATGAGAGCCAGCTTTTGGGCAGTGGGGCTTCCGGAAAAGTGTACGTTGGTGAGCTCGATGGAGAGGTGGTTGCAATCAAGGTAGCAATCATGAATGTCGGGAAGAACGGAGTGAAGGTGAGGCTGAACAGACGGTTGTAGTCCTTGTGTTTAACGACGGTTGAATCCAATTCAGAAAAGCCTCTCTCTGCAGGGCACTGGTTTCTTTCAGGGCAGGCAATATGATCGAAAACGGAAAATGTTTGTGGAAGCATTGACACGCCACCTCGCAATACGATTGAAAACGGGAATGTTGTGGGAGCTTGGAAATGACATCTCGAAGAATTAGAAAGGTGTTGTTCTTCCTCCCGCTCATAGAACCCGCTTGCCCAGAATCTCAGCGCGGGTGCTTACAATCGTGCAGGAAGCTTGGAACGAAATTGCGACGCTAGCACAATACCGGCATCGTCACTTGGTGTTTCTTAAGGGTTGCTGCATCTCGGAACCCCACTGCAGGTGAGCGGTTCAAGTGCCTGAACTCATGTTGACACTACGTAGCAGAAGCAGTGATGTATATTGATTGGTCGAATTGAAAGCTCGCAAGCGAACGCTTCATCAAGCGATGCTTGTAAGCAGGACAGTCTCTTCGTCGAAATGATTGGTCAGGTCCTCAATGTGCGGATTTCGCCTTCACGCTTCGTGTGAGCATCATCGACAGGCCTACAGATGGTGGGGTTTTGGACGAATTGTTGCTCAGGGCAACGGCTTTTCTTTGCATGCAGAGGCGCCCGTGCAAAGCCGGACGGCTTGCACATGCGTGTGCTCGTCACGTAAGCCCTTCAAAATGGCGGTCAATTGGAGACGGTTAAGTGCAGATCTCTTTCTGCTCGATGATCTCTTTTGCAGCCTCGTCTACGAGTTCGTGGAGCAAGGCAGTCTGGAAGGCCATTTGTACCCGCAGCAGCCGAGGAGCGGTCTGGATCAAGCCCGCTTCCTGGACTGGCCAACTCGCGAGAAGATTGCACTCGGAACTGCTCGCGGGCTGATCTACCTTCACGATGTTAGTCATCCAAAAGCTGTTGAGTTTGTTATCCAAGTTCAGGCCTGGACAGAAAGCAGAATCAGCATCTCCACTATACGTTCACTAGATGCCACAAAGTTTCATGCTTGTGTGCTCACTTACGCCGCGCGTAGTGCTTTGTAATGGTTGAAGCAGGGTTTTGCATCTATTACTTTTTTGCCTGAACCTGGCAATGCACGAAGACTTCGCAAACAGTCAGGCTTTTATAATCTATTGTTCCGCGGTCGGGATAGAATAGTAGAAGCTGGTCAAAGGGCGCTTAGGAGTCTCGGGCTGTCAATTGAGCCTCACCTTTGTCTCCGAAGACTCAGGACGGTTTCGCTTCCAAACCCGGTTGAGTCCAGGAACCTCAGCGGCTTTCTTATTTAGCCAGTCTAATCTGGTTGAAGGGCGGCTAATCGTGGCTCACCAGGCTTAGTAAGTGACGGTTGCTTCCCAAAGAAACACAGATCCGGAATAAAGGAGATGCATGGAAGTTTCTTCAGCCGACCAAAACACAACGACTCCGTCCCGATACTTTCGCGCTTCCGTGCTCCAGGACTGCAATCCACAGTGCATACACCGTGACGTGAAACCGAGCAACATCTTGCTCACGGGCGACTTCGAAGCGAAGCTTTCTGACTTTGGCCTCGCAAAGATGGTGGATACGGACGCCACACACATCACGACTGGTGAGTAGCATACAGAGTCCCCTTGCACTTCTCAAAAAACCCCATTGCACTTTCCTCAGGGGCAAGTGAAACTCACAGATTTACTGTTCGGCGGCACAATGAAACTCGGATTCGCACAAACAACGGTGAGAGTTACCGAAAGCAACTGAAGACACGAAACCAATCAATTTGCCCGGGCACGAAACAGGATGGGTTTCAAAACCTGACCGTGCGACATGTTTTGGAGCCATGCGGGAAAGGAAGTCCGGCACCAAGAATCTGCGTTAAGCAGGAAAAGCGAACAGCGGTCGGTTCAGTATGCCGTCTGCGTACTCTCGCAAAAGAACGTCGCAGCTCGGATGAGCCTTCTAATCTCGATCGATCAACATGTAAAGCACTTAACGAAAAAGCTGAGCAGGCAGCTCCCTGACTTTCTGCCAATGGAAGCTGTCTTTTTTGGGGTTAGTAAAGTTTCTAGGAGTCTATCCTTCCTACGAACATTGACCACAAAGTTTGTGTTTCCGCAGCGGTCGCGGGTACATCTGGCTATCTAAGCCCGGAGTACGTGGCTACCGGAAAGCTGACGGAAAAGAGTGACGTGTACAGCTTTGGGGTAGTACTGCTGACGTTGGTGGCAGGGAGGCGGCCCACCGTTCAGGGCGCTCCCCCAGACGAGGCAAGCGTTCCGCTCTAACTTTCTTCGCTCGTTCTGCTCTATCCGCTCATTCCGCTCATTCCGCTCGTTCCGCTCGACTCGTTCCGCCCATGCGCCACGACTATGCGCCGATTTGAAACGACACTAATCCCAATCCCATCCATGTTTCGACTCGGATCTGACGCACAATTGTAGTCTGATCAGTGCTTGCGGCACCAGTGTAGCTGATTTTTCTGTTGCTCCTTATTGAGTCAGGTATTCTTGACGGAGTGGGCATGGTCGCTGGCCGAACGGAACGAGCTTGGATTGCTGGCCGACCGACGATTTTCATCGCAAGAACAAGAGGAGCATGCGGAAGGCATGGAGCGGATGACCCGGGTAAGCTACGTGGGGTCGTCTCGACCACACGGCGCCTTAATTTCCCCTAGGCACATGCCCAGAAATCTCCTTAGCATTAAAAAGGGTTTTGGATACAGCAAGACATTAATAAGATCTCAAATGGTTTCTCCAGTCGAGTGTCAACTGTTGATCGTTCAAAAGCAAAGTCGAGTGCAAACCTGCATTTTGTAAAGTGTAAAAGCCAGACGCCCCTGTCGAGGTAGCCTTCGGAGGTCCGCGCGAGCTTTTCGCGAGGTCCTTTGTCTGATCTGTTCTGTCGTCTGTGATTTGTTACCTCGTACTTTGGAGTTATCTTGACGTCGAGTCCGGCCGCCGATCGTGGACGCTCTTGAATGTCACAAAATAACCTCCAGTGTCGTCCTTTCGGATGCCCGGGGTTCCAGACAGTCCGTAACCCGATTGGTAACCGAGGAGGTTCCACCTCAAGCTTTGTTTACCCTGCTCATCGTGTTTTTTGTCGAGATCGAGTCCTCAATTAATCCTGAGACGCATCCAATCACGCATTCTTCCGGACCGCAGATTGGCCTGCTGTGCGTCCACATCACCATCAGCATCCGGCCCAGCATGCAGCAGTGCGCGAACATGCTCTTGCGGTTCACGGACGTGCCCCGGCTTCCACGGCGCCCCATGACCCTCTACACCATCTCGTCACTCGCATCTTCCGCCGAGTCGAGCAGCGCCACGATAATCTCGTCGTGGCAAAGAAGCTCGGATCGGACGCTCGGATTGGTGGAAACAGGCTCCTCTGCCTGATATAAGGTTCACAATTATCGTGGGGGGGATATAGTAGCGTTGTAACTCTTGCAATAAGAGTACATTTTTGAATTAGTCAAAGTGAAAATGGGTTCGAATAGTCAATGGTGTAACGGCCAAAAGCCCTTTTTAAACGGTTTTTAGTGCTAGCTTCCAATGACCGAGCTGAGCATAGTGTTGGTATCGAACATGGTTTGCTCAGAGCCACGGCTGCAGTCAAAGTAGGTCATATAATTAAGAGGGTTAACCCATAGACAAAGTACCCCGAAGAACACCAGAGAGTGCTTTGCACAAGTAGAGGTTGCCTTTATCAGTCGCTCGGACTTTCCGGCGCGGCGGCAGCAAGACGTTGGCTCGAGGCCCACTTACGGTCCATCAGAGTTACGCGATCATGATCCTCATTACCACATCAGCTCTTAGCTAGCCCAATCACGTCATGAAGCAACCGCGCGCAGCCACGGATTGCACCGCCCGGACTTGGCGGCTTGCTCCGACGGCGATCACGCGACCAGACAATTATGTGTTGAGCAGAACTCGGAAGAAGGGTCCCCGTCATGCATGCACAGTTGCTGCACGCAGGGCGCGGTTGCGGCTCGGTCAGACTGAGATGGAAGTCTACCGCGGAACCCTTAGAGCTTGTATATGTTCCCACTTTTCGGCCTTCCTCATGATTAGCTTTCAAAGAACGGATCAGCACCTGCAATTCCCTAGCCGGCACATTCCACAGCACGACTTGATATGTGCATCTGGAAACAATCGGTCATCATTCCATCATCGACCATAGATGTGCTGTCGTCCGAAGCGTGTTGCCGGTTCCACCCATGACCTCCCGTCCTCCTGTGCTCGATGCGCGATGCGATCGGCCACTCTTGAACGCGACCGTTCCCCGGTTCCGTGAGAACCAAGCCCGGCGGTCGAGCAGGCGGCCAAGAGACCTGCGCCGCGAGCTACAATTTCGACTGGGTTCTCTGTGGTACAATAAGCGGCAACAAGTGTGCATCAGGCGTGAACAAACGGTACCCATTGGAAGATAGATTGTCGGAAATTTGCCGCCTGGATTTCATGGGGTTTACGGAGACAAGTGAAGCTGGTCCCTCAATTCTGGTAAAAGTGGGCTTGCCGCGCGCGGGGGAAACAGGTACACTTAAAGTGCACACCAAGTCCGCAAGTTTGTACCGCTAAACGGTTTATTTTGACTCAATAGGGCAAGCACACTTTGAAAAAGGAATCTGGTGCAGCTCCATCGCCCACAGCCATTGCCCGCTGCGCAAACAGAAGGTTGATTCAACGCAAGCCGTGATTTTGCAAGGATAGCAGCCGTCAGCAGGGTAAATATGCCCTACTCTAGATCTGCGAACAGGCTGGCTCGACAATTTTTGTTTGCTGCCGTTTGCGACGTCAGGACATTGCCAGAGCTCGGGCGTCACTCCCCGGAAGCCAAGCGACTTTCCATCTTCGTCAACACAACTCTGATCTCCAAGGGATTCCGAGACTACTCTATCTCAATCACGAGACGCAGGATTTCAAACGCCTGCTATCCTGATTGCGTCAGTCGCATTCCCGTACCGGAGAAGAAGCCTGGGGAGCTGTAATGCCCCGACAAGTCCAGCGCTTTCTGGCGGCTACAAACAGACGTGGACTATTGTTTGACGGTTACTTGACGATGTATCTTCACTGCTCTTAATTCCTCGTTAACGTTGCCCCCGCATCGCGCGGCAGACCACAAATTGGAGTTGTTCGGTTGCACGGCGGGGTAGCTCTTTCAGGCACGTAGCCTGCCTACTTGCGCCCGCGGCCGAAGCCCGGCCGCGCGGCATAACAGGGCGTACCTCAAACGAATTTCCGGGCGATCCAAAATTGAAGGTTTGGATGTTAGCTCGAGAATGGGGTGGCTAGAAAAGGGATGCAAGCGAGCCATCGCAAGTCAATGCGGCGTTAACGTACGTTACAATCTTTGATCATCAAATGAGGACCAGAAGAGTTGCAAAAAGGAAACAGCAACCACCGTAGAGCTCGCAGAACTAGCACTGGCGCGCACAGGAACATCGCGCGCTCGCGCACCTACGAGGCGCCCGCATCCATCTCGTGATTCAAAGCTCCTCCAGTGAGTTTGACATCCACAGCTCGGTCCATCGAGACAGCTTCGAATCAGCTTTAGAGCAATTTGGAAAGTGACTCGCAAGCGAATCCTGCCGCCTCTTTTCTCAAGACGACAAAATGAGCGACGTACCGAAACCGCAATCTTGTAGACCTGGCCTCGCAAACGCGTGTCTGACGACTGTGCAATGGCATACACTACTGGGCTCGTTACCCATAAGAGCGTCATCATTGCCGAAATACGAATCAACTCGTACGCATGAAAACGACTCGGGCATCCAAGAAGGAGGAAAGCAAAGAGTTCCTTATTTGTCAATCTGGAAGTCCTCAAAGTCTTTTTCTCAGTTCGTCAATCAGCAGTGACCCTGATGAAGGAATCCGACTTAATGGTATCATGATTACAAACCGTACAACGTGGAATCATTGATTGGAGGCTTGCAAGTTTCCTTTCTCAAGGTGTGAGGAGTTGTCGCATAAGTAATGAAGTCACATAGGAGACAGGCCGTGTAAGGCACGAACTCACGTTCTTATGGCGAGCAACGCCACTGTCTTGTTCCAGCAGTTCTATGTCGGGCAGAGTCCGAGTCCCTTCTGCATTTGGCAAGCATCGGAACACTCCAGAATACTTTGACTGGGACGTTAGGCTTGCTTTCCTCACCGCCAGCTTCTCATGCAACCCCTTCGGACGTTTATCCAGGTTGGACGTAGTACTCCCATGAAATACCACCTCAAAGGCAGTTTTACAAACCAACGTGCAAAACGGATCAAGAAAACCCAAACATGTAAGCAGCAATTCTTTGAAATTTGAGTGCAGCTAAGTGACGGTCACTCTGGGCTTACTCTGGACTTACCATTCCCTGTCTGCGCTTGTCGCACGCATTTGTGACCCGTGATCAGAAGCGAGCGGTATTGGTTTGCTCACCGATCGAATAGAATGTACGAGTAGAGAATGCGGCCTCAGCAGCAACAGTCGTTGCGTTTTGTACTGAGAAGGGACGAAAGTTAAGTGTTTGCTCATCGAGTCTCGTTCTTCAATGCCACCTCATTACAACAATTCGTTTGATTTTAGCGCAGATTTTTCAGTACAGCCCTAGCTCAGCCCACAAAGTCGGGGGACTGAAAGTCGTAAAAGTAGACGCAGAGCAGGATGTACGGTTGTTCCTAAATCTGCTACAAACAATAGTCACGGTGCTTCGTGGAGAAACTGACGGCAATCCCCAAAGGGCTTACGGCAAACCGCTTTCCTTCTGACGGCCATTCGTGTGAGCTCTCATAGACCATCTTACGCATCTGAACTCGTACTGGACGAAGCAAATGAGGATCACTTGGTTGGTAGAGAGCACAGGTGTCATGTAGCAGGACTATATATATTCGATCGAAGCTCGTGACATATGTGTTGCCTAAAAGCAAACTCGAAACTTGGCGTCACGTCTTGGACCCGTATCCATTCATTGCAAACCGGTGCGTAGGATATCGAACAAGACGTGTAATACTTGACATTGTAGTACGTCCACTGCAAAATCTGACAGCAATACTAGAGGGCTAGCTAATCTAATTACCACCTTTCACAGGGCAGCAAGGAGTGACCCGTACCCACCTCCAGTTCTATGCAAGGCATGACTCGGTCGTCAAAGTGAAAACCAGGATCGCGCGTGCGCGCTGCCCACTTAGACCGGCTTCTGAACGAACCGATTGCCTTAATTTCCCCTTTTGACGATTCCAACTTTTCACAAAGCGGACAAGTAGAGAAAGCACGAAGAAGTCGGCGTCAGATACGTGCACGATCTCTTCTGAGTTCCAGCCGACTCAAATGATGGTGTCATCTTGGCCTACTGAGCACTACTTCGCTGCCGTCAGCTGAACTCCGCCCATTGGGCGGCTGACTAAAAGGATGACATAACTCCGCACGTGAGTCGAAAGCCAGTCGGCCGGAGAAACATCGGTAATGACCCATTGATTTCAGGCACGATCCTTGTAATTGTACTGAAAAACGGCCATAAAAAAAGCCCCAGTCGTCGAGCCTCAAGCAGCGAGAGAGACGATGACCGTTTGCAGTCATCACAGCCAACAATGATCATATCATAGGCACGCTTTGACTTTTAGGCTTGGGAAAGGATTTAGAGCGCTTGACCAAGGACCCAATCTAATCATACGCGATCAAGGACCCGAAAAGAAACTGAACGGCTCTATCAAGCACCCATTTAGCGTGGGGATCCAAATTTTGGTGTTGTACTCCAAGCGTCAATCTGACGTGCACCTTTTCAGGCCTCGTCAGAGAATCACACATGGCCCGGGGCCTGATCAGCCCGTCTCTTCATACCAAACGTTAAGTCGATCTGCGAAAGAAACTCTGGAAGGATCGTCAAAATTGTTATGGGAACGACCAGAAAGCGATGCAAAAGCAGCAGCAGGTTTGCTGCGCACTTGTAGAACTGGACATAAATGGCGAATTCGTTCTCGCTTGGTCGGCTTCTCGGCTGGGCTGCGATCGAGTCTCAGATTTTTGTATTGGTCAAACAAGACCTAGCTCTCCCTCCGACCAGAGCATTAAAGCTAATGGCAATCGAACCGCCAAACAATTGCAAGACGTCAATGCTCCGCTGAGTGGGTTCCTGGTTGACGCGAAGCCATGCGCTGATGCGCACAGTCCAAATTCCAGCCTTAATTTCATTCACGATTAAGAGACAGGCTCAGATTTTCTCCCACAGAGTATGAATAGTGAGCCGCAGAGCAGCTATGGCGTCCGATCCAAGACGAGCTACTGCGTACTCCTGGTCAAGCGCGACCCAGTACAGGCCCGAAACTTCTTTCTTGCCTGCGAACACGTACTACGCCCATGTCAAGATAAGTCGGTATAATGAGTGACTCTTGACATGGGCTTTTGGTTCTTGAGATCCGACGGC